CCGAGCGGAACGGAGAGGGCGGCGCGGCCCAGGCCCGGCCTTGCCCCCCGCCCGGAGGGCCGCAGGTGGCGCGGGCCGCGGCCTAACCTGCCGCCCCTCCCCGAGTGGAACGGTCCGCCCCCCCCGCCCCCCGGCGGCTTTGGTACGGACCGGCGAGGAGGAAGCGTGGGAAGAGGACCCCGAGGAGCCCGCGCCGGGCTCGCGCGACGGCGGCCGGGGCGCCCCCCTCCGGCCGCGGCCCACCTTCCCGCCACGGCCGCCGGGCGGCCATTAGCGGAGGCCCGTTTTCCCATCGTCGCCCGGCCCTCCCACCGCACCGCGCTCGTCCGCCCACCTTCCCCGCCACCCACGGCCGGCGCGTCCCCGCAGGGTTAACCTGCGCAGGTGTGGTCTCGGCCCGGCCGGGGGTGGGGCGAGAGGGGAGAGCCGCCGGGGGGGCGGGGCGACGCGCCTGCGAGAGGAGCTGGGGGCCGCGGGACCCCAGGGAGGGAGATGGCACCGCACACCCGGGGCGGGGGGGGGGGGGAGGGATGGCTTTTCTTTTTTTAGATTTTGGATTAAACTGTCCATCCTCGTCCCTTATTTAAAAAAGAAAAAAAAAATGTTCCGTGGGTTACACGTACTGTAGATACACTTTGTAGCTATCAGTTTTACCCAGCCATGGAAGTCTTAATTTGCTTCCCTTCTTCACAGCTGATTCTCTACTTTGGGTGAACCACTGCCAAAAGCTCACACAAATCTCAATCTGGCCCTGGCCACTCCTGTCACCCTGGATCTTGGGTATCTGAGACTCTCCTATCGACAGCTCACGTTGGCAGGCAGGGAGGCTGCCAGGGCTGCCTGGGAGAGCAGGGCCGCCGGAGAGGAGGCAGGCGCCCGACTCCCCGAGGCCCTCCTGTGTAACAGCCAGTTTCTGCCCCATCTTTGGCGTGCCCTTTGCTCACTGCAGACTGCAGGGGCCCTGACAGCGATAAGCTGATTAGGGCTGTAAAGCACCCCCCACCCACACTCACACACCCACCCCTTGAAAGGAAGCTAGTTTTATCACTTTTTCAAGCCTGGCCTGGAAAAGGAAGTACTAAAATCTCCTTTGCATTTCCTTTTTGCTCTGTCATCTCAGTTGGGCCAATCCCTAAGTCTTAAGCCTCTGCTTAAAGGGGGGGGGGGGCGGCAAGGAGAGGACAAAACTAATTTTGTAAGACCTTTGGTGGTAAAAAAAAAAAAAACCCAGCAAACCCTACAGCTATGTCTTCCTTAGCAGCAAGAGCCTGAATGCTTGCCCTCTAAGTTCAGGAACAAGGCTACTATGCCTCTTTTCAGACTACTCTTACTCAACGTAGTACTGGAAGTTCCAGCCACTGCAGTAAGGCAATAAAGAGAAAGAAAAGGCATACAAATTGCAGAGGAAGAAATAAAATCATCCCTATGTGCAGATGACATGGTTGGCTTTGTAAAAAGCTCCAAGGAATCTACTGAAAAACAAAACAAAAACAAAAAAATACCCAAACCAAACCAAAACCAAACAACCACAACTAGAACTAGTGAGTTCAGCAAAGTCATAGGCTACAATATCAACACACAAAAATCAATTGCATTTCTATATACGAACAATGACCATATGTAAAGTGATATTAAAAACAATACATAATTTATAATCACTGCAAAGAAAATTAAATGTGCAGGTACACACTTGAGAAACCATGTGCAAGATCTGTATGCTGAAAATTACAATATGTGATTGAAATGAAAGAAGACCTAAAGAAATGGAGAGACATCCCATGTTAATGTTTTGGAAGACCCAAATTAGTAAGGATGTCAGTTCTCCCCCGGATTGATCTCTACGTTTAATGCAATTCCTACCAAAATCCTAACAAGATTTTCTGTAGACAAGATGAGCTTATTCTGAAATTTGTACAGGAAGGCATAAGCTGGAGAATAGCTAAAACAATCTTGAAAATGGAGAATGAAGGGGGAGTACTCAAGACATTGTGGTACTGGTAGGGGGACAGACACAGTAATCAAAAGAAGCAAATAGGGAATCTAGAAACAGACCCACAGAAGTACATCAAACTGTTGTTTGAGGAAGGTGCAAAAACAGTGGTGTTGGAGCAGAGGTTATGATAGGCAAAAAAATAAACCTTCACATAAGCCTCACATCTTATACAAAAATGAGCTCAAATTGAGTCGTGGACTTGAAAATAAGATGTAAAACCATACAACTTGTAGAAAAAAATCTCTGGGATTTCCTAGGCAAAGAGTAATAAGACTTGATATCAAGAGCATGATCCATAAAAGGTAAAATGAACAAATCGGACCTCATTAAAATTAGAAATGTTTGCTCTGTGGCAGACCCTGTTAAGAAGATGGAAGGACAAGAGACAGTGGGAGAAAATACTTGTAAGACCACACAGCCAACAAATGACTAGCGTCGGGTGTACGTAAAGACCTTTCAAAACTCAATAATAGAAAAACGAAAGTCAGAATTCAGAATATGGGCAAAAGATATGAAGAGACACTTTACTGAAAAAGATGAATGGCAGTAAGCACATGAAAAGATGTTCAACAACATCAGCCATTAGGGAAATACAGATTAAAACCACAGTAAGCTGTGACCACACACCCTATTAGAATGGCCAAAATAAAAACGGTGAGCAACACCAAATGCTGGTGAAGATGACGAGAAACAGGATCCCTTCTGCATCGCTGTGGGGACGGGAAGTCGCACCACGGCTCTGGAAAACAACCTGGTAGTTTTTTATGAAACTACACGTACAGTTGCCATATGACACATCATTTGCCATTTTGGGCATTTATTCCAGGGAAACAAAGACTTATGTTTATGGGAAAACCTGTATGCCATGTTTCATTTGCAACAGCCCAAACTGGAAATACCAGATGTCGTTCAGCGGGCAAATGGTTAAACAAACTACGCTACATCCCAACCATGGAATAGTCCTCAGCAACAAAAAGGAATGACCTATTGATACATACAACTACTTGCATGAATGTCCAGGGCATTCGGCTGAATGAAAAGCCAATCCCCAAAAGGTACATACTGTGCTATTCCATTTATATAGCATTCTTGAAATGACAAGATTATAGAAGTGGAGAACAGATCAGTGGGTGCACGGGTTGGGGTGGGGATTGGGGACAGAGGGACCTGTGGCTATAAAAGGCAGCATGAGGGATCCTTGTGATGGTACCATTCTGCATCTTGACTGAATCAACGTCACCATTCTGCTTGTGATGTACTATATTCCTCCTCCCACAAGTCAAGCCATGCTGATTTAATTGTGTGGAGAAGATAACCAGTTGGTTTTTTTTTTTTTTTTTTTAAAGATTTTTTTTTTTTTTTCTTGAGGGAGAGAGCACAAGTGGGTGGAGGGGCAAAGGGAGAGGGAGAAGCAGACTTCCTGCTGAGCAGGGAGCCCGATGCAGGTCTCAATCCCACATGACCTGAGCCAAAGGCAGACACTTAACTGACTGAGCCACCTAGGCACCCCGAAATTGGGTTAATTAAAAAAAATCTTTATTGAGGGGCGCCTGAGTGGTGTAGTCAGTTGAGCATCCAATTTGTTTAAGCTCAGGTCCTGATCTCAGGGTCCAGTGTGGAGTCTGCTTGAGATTCTCTCTCCCTCTCTTTCTGCCCCTCCTGCTCATGCACTCTCTCTGTCTTTCAAATAAATAAATCTTAAAAAAAAAATCTTTATTGAGATAGGATTCACATACCATAAAATATGTCTCCAGTATATTCATAGAGTTGTGCAACCATCTCTGTTTCCAACATTTCATCATCCCAGAGAGAAACCCTGTACCCTCTAGTGGTCACTGCCTATCACTCCCTTAACCCCTATTCCCAGCCCTAGGCAACCACTAACCTATTTTCTGTCTCCATAGATTTGCCTATTCTGGCCATTTCATAGAAATGTAATCATATGATATGTGGTCTTTTATCTCTAGCTCCTTTCACTCAGCATACTGTTTTCAAGGTTCATCCACGTTGTAACATGGATCAACACTTCCTTTCTTTTTATTGCTGAATAATATTCCATTGTATGCATATACCACATTTTGCTTATCCATTCATCAGTTGATGGGTATTTAGGTGTTCTTCCCGTTTTGACTATTGCTGAATATTGCTGCTACAAACATTCAAGTACAAGGATCTGTGCGGACATATGTTTTCATTTCTCTTGGGTATAGACCCAGGAATGGAATTTCTGGGTCATATGGTAACTCTATATTTAACATTTTGAGAAACTGCCAAACTGTTTTCCACAGAAGCTGCACCTTTTTAAATTTTCACTAGCAACGTGTGAGGGTTTCAATTTCTCCTGCACTCTAGTTTTGCAAGATGTTACCATTAGGGGAAACTAGGTGGAGGGCACTCATCTCTTACAACTAACTGTATGTGAATCTACAATGAGCTCAAAATAAAAAGCTTAATTAAAAAAAAAAAAAGCACGGGGGCACATAGCGGAAGCGCCAATCAGCCTCATTTTTGAAAAATCTATGTTTTAATTTCTTGTAGTGATTCTGGTATAATTGTAAAAACAAATCCCTAATTGGTGTTTATTGGGAGCACCATCAA